ATGCGGGGGGGGGGCGTACTCATTTGTCGCTTGCCGTAGTCATTTGACCATGGACCACGCGTCCCTTTCGAGACGGAGCACCGTTCCTACCCCTAGTAGAGACACCACCAACATTTGGGAGCTCTTTACGTTTCTGCCACAAACTCCATAAAAATTTCTTGCACATCTTATCCCCGTCCTCTAGGGCCTCTTGTGCCCACCATCTATCCCCAATTATCGCGATCGTTTTTTCGCTGTTGTCTAATTTACCAAACTTGTCCATGTCACACCCTCTCTGTCTCATTTCCTCCTCGAGATCCTCTCTTTCCTTCCTGTACAACTCACACTCCCCAACTATGTGGGGTCTACTCTCCTCCGATTTGCCACATGGACATGTGTGTCTATCCTCCTCTTCCTCTCTCCTACGGCTGGTATACCTCTTCCTCCGTTCTGGCCTTTCCAGATCGCCTACTCGAAATTGCAATTTCAGCTTTTTCGCATAGTCCATGGGGCCGTCCAAGTACGTCTTCATCCCTATCCCTTCTTTCAACTTCCCGTATATCTCCAAGTGGTCTTCGCTTCGTACCTTCTTCCGAAGGGTTGTCTCCTCCCTACTCTCTAGCATCTCCTTGACTTTCGTCTTGAACCCCCCGAACCCTTCCGTGTCCAACGTCTCCTCCTCGTCTCCTATCTCCTTCCAAACCTTCTCTACCACCTTGTCCCATCTGATTCCCTTCTTCCCTGGAGTCGCTTTTCCCCAAGCTGCCTCGTCAACCATGGCTGGTAGTCTATCGTCCGACATTCTACTTACCTTGTACTGCCACTTCAACTTCTGCATGTCTCTCTTTGTTTTAAGAGAGTACATCCCCAATTCTGCTCTCAATACAGTGTTGCTCGTTGTACTTGAACATCCAAGTATTTTCTTGGCCGCTGCCATCTGCACCGTTTCCAGCTGCTTGACGGCCTTTTCGTTACCTTCCCATATCTCTCCTGCATACTCTAGCTTAGGTACAATCACCTTCAAGAGAATGCACCTCTTAATCCTAGTGTCTAGGTGTGGGTCCGTAAGGATCTCGTCCATCTTGCCTATCTGAGCTTTACCCTTCCCAATCAACTTCGCTATGTGTGCGTCCCATGAGCACTCCTTCGAAATCTCTACTCCCAGGTACGTATACTTGTCTACTACCGGTAGTTCTTCCTCCCCCCATTTCCATTTGAATTCTACGGGATTTTTCTTATCTTCGTTACAGACCACTACTGCGCATTTTCCTACGTTCGCCGACAGTCTCCATTTTCGGGTGTATCCTACCGCCGCATCTATTTGTTCTTGCAACCCTTCTGGTGTTTCGGATACCCCCACGAAATCATCTGCAAACATCAGTCCGGACACACTCTTTCCCTCTACTTGAACTCCCTGTCTTACTGCTTCAACCGCCCTTATCAAATCGTTGATGTAAATCTTAAATAGAGTGGGTGACATCGTACAGCCCTGTGCGACTCCTTGGAGTATATCCACGTACTTCGAAATTTCCCCATCCAACATCACCGCACTTCTTGTGCATTCTGTCATCTTTTTCAACATCCTCCACATTTTCCCCCGGATGCCGATGTCCCACATCTTTTTCCACAATCCATTGCGCCATACGGTGTCGTAGGCTTTTTGTATATCGAGGAAGAAACAGTATGTCGTACGCCCGGCGTCTTTCCTACCTTGGATGATTTTACTCAACGTATATACATGGTCTACACAACTACGATCTGGTCTAAATCCAGCTTGTCCTTCGCTGATCTTTTGTTTCCCCTCCAACATGTCTCCCATTCTATTGTCTATCATCTTGCCAAACAGTTTCCCCACTGTGCTCAACAGGGTTATCCCTCTATAATTCCCCGGGTCAGCTTTATCCCCCTTTTTGAACAGGTTCACGACTACTCCTTCTCTCCATCTCTTCGGCGCGTACTCGTGTTTCCATATCCAGTTGAATATCCGGATCAACATGTTAATCATCCCCTCCCCCCCCTGTTTCAAAAGCTCGTTCACAATTCCATCAGCCCCTGCCGCTTTTCTATTCTTGAGTTTCGCTACGCAGTCCTCTACCTCTTCTCGTGTGAACTCTCCCTGCAACCCGTCCACATCACTACGTTCCCTCTGAGATCTTTCAACGTTTTCCTCTGCCCACGAGTTGATTTCCTTCTCAAACTCCGAGTCGAAGTTGTCGTTGGTGGTGGGTGTCCCAAGTTTGCGGTAGTGCTCTACTAGTACTTCCCTCTTTCCTTTAGAACTGCTTACCATCTTACCCTCGGCAGATCTTAGTGTCGTTATTTCCGTGTCTCCCCCTCTTTTGTTGCCCACTATCCCTTGAATTCCTACCCACATTTGCTTCATCCCCCCCTCAAAATCTTCGTTAGTCTTTTGGACTACTTCCTCCCACAACCCTTTCTTCTTCTTCACGACCAACTCCTTCACCCTCTTTCTACTTTCAACATACTCCTTCCATCCTGCATCTGTTTTCCCTGCCGCATATTTTGCGTGTGACTCTCTACGTACTCGAATTGCTTGCTTGATTTCTTCGTCCCACCACTTCACTGCTCTCTTACAAACTATCAACTTTCTACCTAGAACTCTGCTTGCTGTTGTGTTTACCAGCTCTTCCCACCCTTCTATGATTCTAGACCCGGCCTGGTCCCGGCCTTCGGCATCCTTCGGTGTACCCATTGCCTCCATCAACTCCGAGAGTTTCTTGTCGTTTATAGCCATCTCTTCTTGGAACTCTACCCTCGTTTCTTCTACTTCTAGCTTATCTATTCTCCATCTGTACATTTTCCTGCGTCGCCTACTCTGTATGACTCTCTTCTGTTGTAGGTATATAGGGGGGGGGGGATTGTGAAGCTCTGGCGATGGTGTGTCAGAAGGCAATTCTTTCGACCAGCCTCTGAACGGAAACTACGGCATCCCCGCCTTCGCAGTCGAAAATCGTCTATACGGCAAGACAGGAGGCCCGGGGGGGGTCTGCATATTTCGCCGCTGCAATGTACACGCAGGCCACCGAAAAGGGGGCCAAACGCTCGGCTCGAACCATCCTCTCGAACCAGACATTGTCGACAATCCTGTCCGCAGGGGATGCATATACCATTCCGTGCGCCAAATCCGGCTTTGGACAGCACCCCAAGCTGGGCTTCATACGAAGACTGGCGTCGTGTTCGTGTGTCTACAATACATAAAATCTAAGCGTAGACCGAATTCTGCTGGATCGTCCGTCCTCCCACCTTCTCCTTCTCATCGTGCAAGGGAATCCACCACTTCGAGAGGCGGGTTTTACCCTGGCGGTTTTGAAGCAGGAGGAAACGGATCTACAGTAGTCGTGACGGTAACAGGGCGAGGGAGGCGGCAACACGAGGGGGGGAGGGGGGTAAAGTCGCGTATATAGTAAGCGTCAATGATTCCAACACCGGGAGATGAAAGCGAGCGAGATGTATAACAAAAACAGCCTTTCCAGTTTCCAGCAAAGCAGGGTGTCTCTGCGCCGAACAGTTCCGCTTTTCGATGTGTGACCCCGTCGATGTGTGACAACTTGGGAATCAGCAATGCTCTCAACAGCAGCAGCCTAGGGCAGCATGCACAGAGTGTTGGGGGAGCATCGGCGGGCCATAGGCGCCAAGAGCACGGGCCGGTGAGACTAGCGAGGTTCGTTCGCAACACGCCCGTTTTCATTTCACGCTGTGGATGGAGCCCACAATCAGCGCCAATAAACGTCGTTGGCGGCTCGAGTAAACGACAGCAGTGTCAACGGGAGTGGAGTTAAGGTCGCACGATACGTATCCTGCTATGCGGGAGTCTGCTGCTGTAACCTCCCGAGGATGCCTGCTGAGTGCACAGCGGTGTGAAATCTGTATTCTGAGTGTAGACTATTCCATGGGCAAATTCTGTGCTCGGCCATACCTTTTGCCCAGAGGCTCACACAAAAAAAGCCGCATGCAAGGGGAAAAACGGTAGTCGTGCAGAGACATGCCACCGTGGATCAGCAGGAAGGGAAGAAGGAAGGACGTTGGCAACGCCGTTGCAAGGCGGCGTGTTCTCCGAAAAGGTTCAACTCTCGTATCAGAGGTAAGCGGAACTGCTTGAAGTGATGTAGTGTACTCGCGCTTGTTCCACCGCTGACCTCTCACCATGGTATAAGCAGGCAGGCCGTCCTAGATGTTGCCGAGCAGCAATGCCCCAAACCGGTCCGTCCACGTACAAACAACGGAACCGCGCGAGCCGCCGCAAGTCGGTACGTTGCGCGCTCTAACGCTCTGGGGAGTTCGACTTTGCACCGGAGGCGTTTGCCAATGTGGCGGTTACTGCACAGTTCTCCGAAATTGCCCCGCATTCAGACACTTTTCTTCGCGATCAAGATTTGATGTGTGAGAGGGCCGCGGGTTTGGTGTATGGTGCATTGCACACCATAGCAGCAAGGATCTGCAATGCAAAGGAAGATCGCTTCTAGACGGAGTCCCATCAAAAGCTCGGTGTGCACGATCACTTGGGGTGAGCATGGAAAATAAACTGAACCAGTGCGTCGGACAGCCGTCCCGTGAGACAGGCCAAAGATACACCGAGTCGTGTTTTGGCATGACAGTTGGATCATACGAGATGGTGTCGTGCAATTCACGCTGGACGTGGATGTAGTTCGACGAAGTTCACAATGAAGTTGGCTAACTCCTTTTGAAGTTCTCAGCAACAGTAGTGCCCTCGGACCTTGTGGCTGCAAACCAGCGCTATATCCAGATTATTGATTGGCAACGATTTGCATGCAGCCTGTCACAAGAACCTGTTCGAGCATGTCATGGAAGTCTGCATAGCCTTAAAGCACGTGGAGACAGGCTATGTTTAACTCCATTACGTCCGAAGTATTTTGAACCCCCATAAAGCTTCAAGGCATTGCTATCATATAACGGCTAAAGGCGAGCGGCGATGTAAGATTGATTTCTGCTATTTAAACAATTTTCTCACCAGCCTGTAACGTCGCTTGTTTGCTACGCGGAGTTTTGAATTGACGGGTCAATTCACCCTCTTCATTAGACTAAGGGTTTCGATAATCTCTGTGGCTCAGCTTTCTTCCTCCAGGACAGGTGGGGCACAACTACAATGAACAGAAACTCCGATAGGCGTATGCTGATGAATATTTACGTCAACCTGACAGTCTACCACCGGAAGATGTGTCCACTGTTGGCGCCAGATTAGAGGGGGACGAACGCACACTGAATGTCTCGCCATCTCGCCGGTGGGCTGACAACACGACTCATCTCCGCTCGTCATAATACAGACGAGGCTGGCGGTGCCGAGGCGGCACAAAAAAACTGTTACTCCAGCCCCCACGATTTTCTCGAACAAACACTGTTAGTCTTGTGGGCGGGTCTTAATATAGCCGCCCGCTGTCCCCGCTCGTTCTGCCGTGTGACCCGTCATAACACGGAATGGATAGGCTGTTCCGCACATTTAAATGGCGCACGTGGGACAGCGCGTCGAGGTGTTCTGGCCGCCGGAGGGAGACGACACAGAAGGAAATTGGTAAGTGCAGCTAAACGCTTTGAGTCGGTCGCGACAAACTCTCGACGTGACCACAACTCCTGGACTCCCGACCCCGTTGACGACTCTGCCGGGAATTGTCGTGCACCACAGCGAAAATATGACCGGGTCAAATTCCGATGTTTTCTGTGTACCTTCGTCGATCGAAAGCATGGCAGAGCCTAACGACGAAGGCATCGCACGGGTGTGCTTGGCAGACAGAGTTGATGCCGCGGTCGTTGGATCGAGCCCAAAACCATTCCGGTGATCGATGAACACGTTCTTCCATTACCAAATGTTGGATGTCTCCACACCCAAAATGTTAAGACTCTAAGCTCGGTTTGTTTATCCACAACTTTTGCAGGTATTGTGGTGAGCTGGATGGGTATGACGACGCGGCGGGATACCACGTGACCTACGATGATGGGGACGAGGAAGTGCTCGGGGAACAGATTGACGGCAGGGACGATATTCATCTTCTACCGCTGTGGTCCCCGCCAGATGGAGGCGACAACCGCAACCCCCCTGAGGTGTGTGTACGGTTCGTCGTTACAGTATGTTGAAGCGTTTTGTTGTGGGGCCTTTTCTCGTATTTTCGAGCACGAAAACGAAGTCTGTACTATGCTGATTGTGCAAGCATCGTCGTAAGTTCCCACGGGAAATGACAATCGTGGCCTTGTCCGGCGAGAACCAGCCGCACCAACGCCAGGAGGGTACTGACAAGGTTGTTGATCCCGGGTTCATTATCATTGCTGCTGCTCAGGGGGTTGCTCACCGGCGGGATGATAAACCCGGTGTGCCGGAAGAGGAGGGAGAAAACGGAAGGATAGGGCAGCGAGGCAAAGCTACCAGCGAACCGGACAGCCCAACGCCAACCGGCAGCGGCTTGGCCGCAATGTCGTACAGGTGTGGCACATGTACGTTGCGCGTGTTCTCTGCTGTGTGTCATTTTTTGGTGCTATGAATAATGCTTGCAGTCTTGTGTACAAAACGACGTGCGAAGGGCAAAACCTGAAAGGTGCCAAAGGCCAAGAACACGACACCAGTGAAGCCACGCCTACCACGAGAAGGGAACACAGCTCTATCTTTCGTTGGTTTGTGACGGGAAACGAGCCACCGAACAGTAGTCGCTCACTCCTTCTAAGCGCCCGCGTGGGGACCACGCGGAGACAAGGCGAACTTGTTCTGAACATCATAACATACGTAACCGTCACAAGAAGTGAATGGCGTCCATATCACTGTTGAATTGTCTTCGCTCTGCACGTTTCGAACATCGGTTTCAATCCACGTCTCACCACGCCGTCCTCGAGGCAACAACGCTTACCCTCCCCGCTCAACATGCACACCAGGGAGATCGGGCGGCCTGCCTCGCCTCCAGACTGCGACGGCAGCAACACGAGCCCACGTTCCAACCTGAGCATGGAACGTTCCAGACACCGTTCCGCCGGAAACGTCGCCGACGACAACGGCTTCCAAAGCGGAGAGTTTGGAAAAACGAGAGAAAGGACAGCCACAAAACCAACCGGTCGCGACGGCGCGGGAAACAGGAGTGGCTCGGCCTGGAGTTCGAACGACGACGATGACGACAAAGGCGCTATCGACTACGACAGCTTCGACTTCGGAAGCGAAGACGAGGAGGCCGGGATTTTCGGGCCCGCGTCCTGCCGCAGCAGCAGCAGCAGCAGCAGCAGCAACGACCGCGACGGCTTCTACGGTGGAAACGAAGATCACGGTGGCAACTTCGGACACGATGACGACGACGACGAGCAAACACCGGGAGGACAAGGACGCAGAGGAGGGAGACTGGCCGCGAGCAAAGGAGGCAGAGGAGGAGATGACAGCTCCGTGGAGAAATTTTCACTCTCAGAAAACAGCTCGGACTGGACGCCGCTAAGGGGGGCGGATCTCGTTGGCGCCTCCCGCCGCTCGTCCCCGAGTTGGCGTCGCCGCGAGGACCGGAACCGGGAACGGCTCTCAGAGGCTGCAGGGGACGAAGAAGTAAGTTGTCGTGAATTGGTCTGGTCTGATGAATGGTATGCGATAAAATGTATCACGGAGAGGTAAGTGTAGGTAGTGGGGATACATTTTCTCCGGTAATAGTTGTGTGTTTTCTCTCAGCTATTGCTATGCATACCTAGGTCACAAGAGCTTCTTGCTGGGCTAACGGTTGAAGCAATTGGTTAAAGCGCAGTGTACCATGTTGGTACACACAGCGAGCGAGGATTAAACGTTTGGTCATATTGTTTTGACACCTTGTGCCCGAAAGCGGGCCCCGTGGTATTCATTCCGCACTCAAGGGCTAAGACCAAGCCCGGTGTCCCTTGCGACTGAGTTCACACAAAGACAGACATTCCCAAGCTTCTTTTCGTTATGTAAGCGCCTCCCCGCATTCAACACACAACTCTGAACAGAGTACCCGTAGCATGGCATTGATCGGTTGATTTGGGTCTGCTCTGTAGTCGAGGAAAAGCTATGATTCATCCGCCCCTGTACTTCAATCCCCGAAGTGAAAGCCGTACATCTGGATGGATGAAGAAACGGAAGCCTGCCCTGACAGTCGCCTAACAACCCTGACGATCGGTGGTTTCACACGCAGGAAGCCTTTTCGTTTCACAACGAAGGAGCACACGTCACCACAGCCAATGCGCTAGACAAGACGACAGAGGCGTTTATTTCCGCGCTTCGGAACGCCATGCTTGCCTCCGCAGGATCAGGTGTCGGCACACCCGGGGAAAACCACGAGTCACTCCCATGTCGCACCTCGCCGTGGCGGACGGGAGACGGGCGGACCGATGGCCGTGGCGCTGTGGTCGGCGGCAGTGACAACCCGGAAGACGGCCTAAAAGCTCTAGAAGGGTTCGTCCACGATACGGCAATGTTGCAGGGGGCCGTCGAAGGGGTGGAACGCGGCAGAGGAGGGGGTGGAACAGCAGCGCTCCGCGCGGATGGCGAGACCGCGGGGGAGGAGGGAGTCTTCGTGAAGGTCGGCGACCCGTGTAACAGTTGGATTCCGGTAGTGTCACGTCCAGAGGAACGCTGTCATCGTTGCTGTTGCCTCCATGATTATACAAGACGGCTTATCCGCTGCTGGAGTCGGTTGGATTATTTCGCTTCATGAGTGCCCGCAGTCGGACGTGCAATGTGTTGCGTGGGGGCGGATAGCCGGGGACCATAGATCAGAGCCAGTGGTTCGATGGAGTTCGTCGGCAGAGAGCGTCATTTGTATTGACCTCTCGTTGTGGTTGTCATGAATTTGAGCTTGAGGGGCTAGACTAGTGTTCTCGTTCGGTGGTAGTGAGCCATCCTCCTTTGTGGAAGCGTCGAATCTGCCGGAAACTGAGAGGACATCGTACAGCGAAAACCTGCATCCCCCTTCTGCACCTCGCACAGGGGTCGACAAACGAGCTGAAGCAGGACCGGCCTGAATATTTTGGGCATTGGCAACACGTCGCTACCCAGTCTCGAAAGCTTGCCGATTTTATCTGATTCTCACAGCTCCTCGAATTCTTCGTCGGTCGAGCTGGTCTACAAGCCGAAAGGTCTTGTCCGAAGATTCAGACTGTTTGGCATATTTTTCCCTGTTTCGTTTTCGCTGTAGACGAAATACGACCGCCGTCTCGAACATGATTGCGCAGCTCTCGCTGACCAACGTTCCTAACTCTCAATACTCGTACAGACCAGTACCACAGCCGACACAGGCAACCACGATGCACACGTTTAGACTCCGCGCTGTTATCTCAACCTCCTGTGCAATAAGTATGGTGCTGAATTCGATCACCCAGATAAGCTTTATCGAAGGGGGGTTGGCGTCGACGACCAACGCCATGTTCCGTTGCAAGACCCTCCTGCACACAACGGGATCTTCTGCACCAGCGACGTGTAGCGCCGGCGGTGGCGGCGGTGGTTGGCCTGACGGAGAATTTCAGTGCGAGGTGCGCGTTTTCATCCAAACGCTCTTGAGCTTCATTCTTTTCTTCGTTTGGCGTTTCTCCCATAAATGGGAAAACGTAGTCCGCGATAATCCTATTTCTCGTCGTTCTTGTCGTTGCCACGTTAGGTGCTTCGTCTTTGCAGTAGCGAACAACATTCGCTATCGATACCGCTGCTATTGTGGTCCATACGCCATATTCTCTGGTAACACCCTCCCCATCCCCCGCCAACATCATCGAACCGTTCGCGGCGTTCTGGCGAAACTACGATGCAGACCTTCCATGGTGGACGGCTGGGTGAGCTGGCGAACGCAGCAGTGCTATTCTCCGTACACCGGAGGTGGTGCGGCAAAAGAGGAGCCACATCGCGGGGCTTGGATCGCGAAGGCTTCCTGGGGCAGGCGAGCCTCACACAACAGTCACGTAGCTGAACCATTCGCTTCTTTGGCGGGTATTGCAAGCTTATATCTCCACATATTCTGGTGATAACCCCGAAGAATGCGACCGATTCTGGGCTACTAATATATCTCCTGAAAGGGAGACACGTTTGACACTCGACGGCCAAAAGAACAGGACATTTTTTCTTCGTCGAAACCTCGTTGTCCTAGGGTTGTCCACAAACGTACATGACTCGGTGGGACATTCTTCACAACCCGAAATCGCTCCAGGGCCGCAAACGCACGTCAAATCTCTCTCTGGGCGAGTCACTAAGCCAAACAAGCCGTCACCCGGCCCACTCAGTAGCCAGCGGCCTCCATTCGTGCCAAACCCAGCAACGGCTATCGCGTCCCTCCCTCTCTCCCGTGCCTCTCGCTGCTGCGTCGCCGCCTGCACGTTACAGGTTGTCCTCCCCGTGCGCAACGCCGTCCTAGGCCTCCAGCCGGTCGACATCGCGCCGGGACCCCAAAAAAGTGGCGTGGATAAGGAGGAAGCGGCGACGGGCACCCACGCCCGACCCAGTATCAACATCAGCAGCAGCGATGACGACAATAACGATGGCATCATCAGAAATAACACCGATAGCGGCTCCTGGAGGTTGTTGCGCGGGGACGTCTCAGGCGCGTTTCGAGCGGCTGATCGACTCGGCAGGGTTGAGACCGCGGGGAACGCACCGCTTGTTCTTCAGCTGAGGCTTTCGGTGTCGTTTTCCTTAAAACCGGTGAGAGAGCGGCGAGAGAGCGAGAGAGAGAGCGAGAGGTGGGGCGGGGAGGGGAGGAGGTAGCGGGATAAAGAGGTAGAGAACGGGAGGCCTGTACGTATTGTTGCAAATCCACGCAGCGTAAAAGTCGCGTTCGGTATCAGCCTATGGATTTTCCAGTCCCGTGGTCAACTTGGGCGACGGCCGTGGGGCACAGCACCAGGGTTAATGTCGAGTGTGAGGAAGAAATTGGCCCTGTGTGGAAGGTAGCAGTTTGCATTCCAACCTGAGGCCTTTTGTAAGGAAATATGCTACCGTTGAGTAAGACCCCCCAAGCAGGAAACCCTAGAATATTCCGTGTGCACGACACCATGCTCCCACTGACCACTCTTCACACCGCCATCGGAACGAACCAGCGCCGTAGTCGTCACGATCCCCTGTGATCCTCTTCCCCAGTCACGGAACCCCCCCCCGCGCTTCCCATTACCAGGGGGGTCCCGGTGCATCATCACCGTACCCCTACCTAAAAGGTTCTACACCGTCTGCGTCACACTTGTACGCGGCTAACATATCCAAACTATGTCCGTAGACCCACGAACACCCTCCCTGGTTCTTCACGCAAGTGACTAACCATCTCTCTGTGCCTTCTATCTCCCAGCCGGAAGACCTCGCATGTCCAACCGAACCCCGAAATCGCGCGGCCGCTCAAACGATGGGAGGATACCCCAAGGAAGCCGTAGGAACGGCAGCGGCGCCGTACGCAACGGTTGGCGCGGAACGAGAACCCGTCCCGCCGCACGGCGGGGTCGTCTTCGACGAAACGGGTGCGCGCCGCGCGGGAAAACCGGGAGGATTGGGCCTGGCAGATATGCCCACGCGGTCTGCAGGGCGAGCGCGAGGAAAAGGAGATCGAAGGACGACAAGAGCCAAGAGGGGGGGGGGGCACGCGAACAGCGGCGGCGGCAACAGGGATTGGAGAGCCCATGATCACGGGGCCGCCCTCCTTCGGCGGAAAGTGAAGCGGCAGGAGTGCATTGCCCGCGAGAACGAGAGGATGGAGCGGCGGCTCAAGGTCATCCGCGAGGCGGTCCCTAACACCCGCGAGCCCCGCTGCTACGAGCGCGTGGGGAGAGCACCCTGTGTGCCCCGAGGTGGTGGCGCCGCCGGCGGCGCTGGCGTTGGTTTTACGGAGCAGCCCCGCCACCGCCGCCGCCGTCGACAACGAAGCGACGGGACTGTTGTCGGAGGACTACAAGGGGAAGCGCCGCCGCACGCCGCCGGTGTCCGTAGTACCGTTGAATCTGGCAGCAATCGACGACGGGTTGGGCACCCTGTAGTCGCAGGCTGCTGGGACAGCACAACGCCCTCGGCGGGCGGTGGCGAAGCAGCGGCGGCGGGGAAGAAGGAGACGGCTGGGTGGCGGGAGTTGTACGACGAGAGGGAGGCATTGGCTTCGGCGGTGGAGGCCGCTGCGGCGGAGGCGGCCGCTGTGCGCGCACGGGTCGAGGCGCTGCGGGCCAAGACGCTGTGGACGGAGGCCAACGCCAGGAGGTACGCACGCAAGCCAAGGGGCATTTATTTCCACGTTGAGCGGCAGGGGAACTTTAGACGTCTATCGGGCGGAAAATTCGGTTTCGGTACAAGCAAGGGCAAAGAAAACGGGCACCGGGGGAGCGGGGTGTGGTACGGGCAGGGACAGAGGGTGGTTCATGGCAGCGTGCACGGCGGGAAGGGGCGGGTCGTTATATGAACTCCACGGACATCGTTACACTTCGCATGAATATCTCCGATTGTTTCACGGGGCGGGAATGATAATCACAATGTGACCACGGTAGACGGTCCTACAGGACAAATAGCGGCGTCCCCGCACCCACGGCACGGATACAGATCGGTAGGTTGTCTCCTTCTCTCGAAAAACCGTGCAGGTCTTCCCTGACCGTGGCTTCTCTGGAGAACGGTGCTCATGGGCGATGTGCGAGTTCTCGAACGACAGGAAAGGAAGTCTCGGCTGTGGTGGCGGCGGAGTCGTCGGGCGCCGTCGTTGCGTTTGACCGGAGGACGTTGGATATTGACGACGAGGGCGGCCTCGTGGAGGAAGGTTTGGCCGCCGAGCTGAGGCGGCAGGAGGAGCTGTACACGGTGCGTTTGACAGGAATTTACTTTCACGACTAGGATTGTGAATATTCAGGCTAAAATCTCGGGAAATGGTTCTTCCGTCATAAACAGAAGCCCTTACGGCAGAGATACCCTTGTGAATAACCTCACCGAGAGCTCGCCGGCTGAGCAGGCAAGCAGGCCGGCCATTCAGGGCGGGCACGACGACGGTATAGATTCGCATGACTGAGAAATAGCAACACGGAGCAGAGAGATACAACGATTGTCGTATCGAGAACTATTTCGCCCTCTCTGAGTAGACACCAGAATGAAAACCGATGTTTCCGCTCAAAAAAAAAATAATCCCCAAAATAAAACGAAAACCCTCAGAGTTATTTCTCGGAAGGCACACCACGCGCTCGAGACGCTGGGCATCTACGACGTGGCGGTTGAGAATTGCCAAAAATCTCCGTTGCCTGTGCAGGCCCTAGCCGAGGCGAGACGGCGAGTGGTTGCGGCGGGAGAAGCGGCGCGACTGGCGCGAGAGGCCGACCTCAAAGAGCTGGACGAGCTGCGGTCCCGGCTCACCGAAGCGGAGGCCCGGCACACGCGACATCAGTGGCGGAGAGAGAATGAAACCGTCACCACCACGCCCCCCCCCATAGGCGCCGCAGCCGCCGTGCCCCTCCGACGGCGAGAATCGCCCCACGATGATGAGCGCTCGCCAAAAAGGGCAGCTGGTGCTCGTGTTGCCGGAGCTGCTGCTGCTGGTGACGCCGCCCGTCTTGCGCTCGACGGAGTCGAAGAAGATCGTGGCGGCGGCGGGGGCGGGGGCACCCTACCGAAAGATGCCCTCGAGCGGGCCAAGGACCTGGCGCTGTCGCTGCGCGTGGAGGTCGAGACCCTCCGGCTGGAGGAAGCTTTGGGGGCGGGGAGTGGGGCAGACGTCAACGTGGCGGGGGTGGGGAGGGCTCCAAGCGACGCGCAGGACGAGGTCAGTGCGGCATGGGTTCGGGGTGTCTTGGTCGGTTAGTTGTCTCGGGCTGGCTATCGATCGAGGGGGACCGTATACGCTTTGACCCTTGGAAACTCCTTGATCTGGTCGAGGGGGGTTAAAGGAACGGTTCATGACATTTTTAAGAGCGTCAAGTGCCTCGAAAACAAGATTGGTACGGTTTGGGGCTCTCGTGCTTTCTGGAGGGGAAACATGGGCGGGTGGTCTTGCTCTCCCCGATGAGAAATATGGGTTTTTGTATTGCCTTTCACTGTGCTGCCCTGAGCTGACAACGATAGCACCAAGCTAAGGGGGGGTGGTATTGGTCCCCTCGTTGCCACGTGAGCCTGCAACAACAGCAGTATGAAAGTGTCGCTTCCCACTCGGGAATTATTGTTTCGTTCGTGATGCCTTGTACTGATCTCCTATCGTACTCTACACACGTTCGTTGTACAGTGCGTAGCCAACCCTAGTCCTCGATTGAACCTTGGCGGCATCCTCTGTGGCGTTGACGAAAGGTGGCCAGGCTGAAAGCTCGGTTGAAGAACAAGACGCGGCGGCTTGAAGGGGCCATCTTCGACCGAGACGCTATTCGGGCAGAATACCAGGTGCTTGGGTGACCACACCGCACGGAAAAGGACAAACGAGGAGGATCACCACCACAGCAGCAGTAGCGAAGACGATGAGAGCACAACGATACCCACGGGGTATTTCGGCTTTGGCATGAGACTTCACGTCGCCGCAGGCCTGTGGCAGACGTGCTTACGCGCTACATTGCACAATCTCCCGCTTTTGTCCACCCACTAGCCCTTAGATGGTCTAAGCGTTGTAGAGGGAATACGATGCTAACGGAGGAGGATTGGACTACATTAGATAATTATCTTGCATGCCTCTTGCTAAGGGAACGGAAATGACTCGACATTGCCTCGGCGACGGGCGTTCACCCACTCAAGTATTAGACCGGTGTTCTCCTCGAACCGTACCCCATCAACTAAACCAGTGCTTCCATCCGTCTGCGGTCATATCGAAAGCCTCGCATGCCTTCTTCAACTAATTGTTAGTCCTCTTTGTCTTGCATCCCAACTTCTCCCGCCCGTGTTTCTATCCCCATCAATCCTTGACAGCAATCCAATCAACGCTTGTCCTGAACAACGACCCCCTCACCTGTACTCCATCCGTGTTCCTCACCTGGCGGCCCCACGTTAATATCGTTTGCTACCCGTCTAAGCATTTGATCGGGAAGGGCCAGCGCTCCGCGCTGAAGGAATCCCTGGCTTGGCTGGAGCACGCTGCCCTGCAGTTGTCCGACACCAAACTGAAGTAGACTTGCAATATTTTGCAAGATATTCTCTGCAAAAGGTGACCACCCCCAGTCCACGAAAAGGACAAAAAAGACGGCCTGTATGCCTCCATTAGTTACTCCGGAAGGTCCATCCGCACCCGGGCATGATTGTCGTCCCACACCATAAAGTGACTTCACCAAGTAGGGTCACTCGATTGTGAAACAGTGTTGGCGATGTGTACTATTTTGTTGCGCGCATCTCTCAGTCCCGCCGCCATGTCACTGTCGTCGTAGTACGACGCGGCCAAGGTAGCATTGCCACAGTATGCACTCGTACGAAGGGTTTTGAGAGCGAGTGTGGTTTGCGTGTATTGCTAGCCTTATGTTCATCCCCGTACAATACCGGTCAATTTGCGAGGGGCCGTTCGTTTTGATGCGGCGACCCGTGCTGGGATTGTTAGCATTTTCGTCGAAGAGTTTGGGGTGTGGGACACGTCCGGAGTTCGACGTTGAATCAAGGATTCGACCTTTTACGGTGGGGTCTGCACGAACAACCAACGTCGTGCTCGACTTGATGGCGAAAGCAAGATAGACGCAGAACCTAATGGGAATGCATTATCGTCAACGCTTGACCTCGCAACCGTATTTGCACGTGGAGTTGACGGAACACTCCCATTCTTTTGTGCGGAAACAATCGCGTAGGAGAATTCAAAGGATTAACCTGCGCACCATGCCAGGAAGACCCAGGCAATATTTTTCGGGGGAAGAACGTCCATTTCTTGGAAGGATGGAGAGTCATGACTTTCGTATTTTCGTTCCATGTAGTGGTTGTTGTTGTCTGCCGCAGTAGAAAAATGTTCTGGCCTCCATGCAGTACCTTCAAATATCCGTACCGGTGGGGTTAACGAGTTAAGAAACGGTTGGTTTGTCGGGTCATCTGTTGGTGTCTCTTTGACGCGTCACGTGGCGCCCGTACTCAACAACTCTTCGAGTGAAGTGAACCTCACTTCGAGCTTTCTTAGACATCCGCAAAGGCCACACCTCCTGTGCTGTGGCAGGTTAGGGATCCCGCCTCGTTATTAGAGGCACTCTTCTCAATCCCTCACTCTGGACTGGACACTTTGCCAGCGCTGGAAAGGTAACTGGCTAGGAGATTGTCAATGCCCGCAAGGGAGTTTGTTCCGAAATTGACGACGTCAACCTTAACGTGCGAGGAAAGAGATTGGTGCAGACGCTCGAGCCGAAATTGTTGTTCTGGGGCACTGGACCTACCGCACCCATTATTCCTCTCGCTTCGGCGACATACTGGAAGCCGGGGTGGTAACACATTTGTATTTCTGCAGGTGGACGTGCGTGGTTTCCACTCCATTCTACAGTGAGTGATAATTCTTGATAGCGTGAGATACTTGTAGAAAAATTTGATAGTTGACTCTTTCCCAACTCCATTCCCACTCTCTCTCCCCATTTTCTGGCGTTTTTTCGTATTCCTCCAATGACGTAGAGTCAATGATATATCCTGACAACAAATGGCCGAGGAAAATGTTATCTCAGGGACTCGCGCCGTGTGGACGGAGAAAATAAACATACGCTCGTTTAACCCCCTTACCACGCACAGAAAATTCGGCGTTCTTGCGAAATTTCTGAACTGTAAGAAAAAGAGCGAACGACGCCTGCTGATTGGATGGTGCAGACAGTTCCATCCCTGGGTGCAAGTGCAAAGCTGTCTTCCCACTTGAGCCGTCTCTTGTCCATAATCCCTATCAAATGTCCCCTCGTAGGAGCGTGGTAAACCGGGCACGAAAAGGAGGTTTTCAAGCTATTTCTCTAGAGGGAAAGCGAGACCTTCTAACTCAAGCCCTAGGTTGCTCGGTGCCTTCTATCAACGGTTGGCTATGGGTACTTCTTCCGCGCTTGCCCTCGTAGCGCTTTCCAGGTAAAGCAGGTGAAGAAGATGGGGACAAAAAGTGTCCCCAAAAGGCGATCCAGCCCTAAAGGGGTTTTTGTATTGCTTTGTCTTGTTTCTTTTTCTCACGAAAAACACAACAAATCATAATGTACCTTCCACAGATAGATAGATGAGAAGAAGGGACCCGCGGCGAATTTGGACGCGCCTGTCCGTAAAAAGATCAGCAATGCCGGTGAGCAGCAGCAGCAGCAGCAGCAGCAGCAGCAGCAGCAGCAGCAGGGGGGGGGGGGGAGAGTGCGACGGGCGCACCGGGGGCCTCAGACACGACTTCTCGCATTTACGAGGAGGCGGCAAGCCTGCTGGCTCACAATCGTGCGGTGCTGGGGCAGGCGCTAGCAACTTGTATTTCAACGATTCCCCGAGCAGATATATCCCTGTGGGAAACAGGCTCGACAAAAAACAATAGTAGTCTGCGGCAAACTACTTCTGTATGTACTGTACGGTAGAGTAGTAGATAGATGATGACAGATGATCGCCTCTCTATTTGTCGGAAAATCCCTACGGGAGCCACGCACGTTTTATTTCTTCCGAACCCCCGAGGTCGTGAAATTGATTGGCCGTCGCGCAGTCGATACTGCTGCCGTGCTGTAAGTTTCACGCCCTCAGCGGTGCCTGGACACCCGTGGTGCTCCAACACCAAATTGTGTATGTCTTGATCATCATCAAGATGGGCAACCCTTTGAAACTGGCAGCTGTGTGGCTGTGTTTGCTCCAATGCTGTACCAACCTCTGCCACGTGCCCCCGGAAGCTTATTCCGCCGCAACTCGAACCTCTTCACGTACGTACGTTTTTTTCCCGTAATGTAACGCTCGCCGATCCGCACGCACTGTACAGTAGGATCGCCCCTGGTGATGGGTCTGGCGGGTTGTGATCGACAACAATATTCGTCTGGAAGAGAATCACACTCACTCGTCGCAGGCATGTATGCATCGCTTGAGTGGGTGATCGACCATCGCCATCATGACAATCTGCTGTATCACGCAGCATCCCGCGTCATGACCCCGTGCACCGCCAACACAACGACGAGTATATTCATGTCCACATGATTGAGGAAACTGCGTTGTCATGGGCTTTGTACGGTGTCGTGAACTTATTTTCGATTTGGTCTCTGGGACATAACCTAGGCAGCACGTGTTTGTGCGTCTTCGATGTCCGCGTTCGGCACGTGCGTGTTCGATCACGGATTAACCTAAACAGGTACGCCGGAATCGGCACATAACGTCATGGACTGTACCTCCTCATCAGCCAATCGCGTTGTTTCGTGGCGTTTGACACTGGATAGACCGCAATTTGAACTTGTACAGCTCCTACAGTAGTTTCCGCGCGCGGATGTGGCATCCCGACTACAGTAGTTGAATGCGCAAAACCAAGTCGACCAGACGGCAAGTCTGGACGCCGGCATATCTCGAACATGGTTTGGGTGCCCGTGGTTCTTTTTCTGTCATTGGTGACCGTCGTACTCGGGTGGTTGGCCTTGCTGTGGAGACTTGTCGCTCATAGGAAAGAGTTCGAGATCGCGGCGAGGTCGCCTTCACTAGTATTGATGACTGAGGTGACGTGCCTCATTTTGGTCGCGTCCGTGCTCTTGAACTGGCTGCTGCAAAGCATGGGTACCACGACGTTACCTTGCCCGGTCACCTTCATCATCTCATACGTCGGTAAGACGAAAATAATACGTTCACTCTTGCCAAATATCCTACAAACTTTAGTCTTTACTATTCCTTGTTTAGTCTCTTGTAGTTTAAACGGCTGGGGGGATTGGCCGGCCTCCTTGGGCGACCAGAATGAGAAAACTGTTGAGAACACGCAAGGGTGAGGATAAGCTAGCTGTCCGTTAGACGGGTGTTTCGAGCTCGTTCCATGCTCTCGAGTAGAGAGGGAATGAGGTGGGCCACATGGCATCCCGCCGCGACGATGAAAGGAAAAATGATAGGCGTTGATGCGGGGAATGACAAAATAGACCGTTCTTTGTGAACCACAGATATTCGCAACAGGGTGCAAGTACACCCACCCTCCGTGGCAGTCACTTCAATACGAACGGGACGTGTGCACAGTAGCGAAGCAACAGAGCAGTCCCACTCTTTTACTCCTTGCAAGCAAAACAAGAAGGAAAGCGCCTCAGACCTTCTGGGTGGCCACGGATTGGAGCTCCTACACGGCAGAAATGTTGTGTACGTGGAGTGAGAGCTGATAACTTTATGAAGAACGAGACAAGAACTCTTCCTGTCTCGTAAAGGGAAGGGCCTAATGAAGAGAAAATGATATGCCCTCAAATCGTTTCCCGTGAATACCTGCAAAGTTCGATGTATGTAGCAACATATCGCAACGACTACGTACCTGCAATGTGATGTGTGCACATGAGAGTTTTGAACTCAATTCGCACGCGGCAATGCTGAGGAGCACCGTCGATGGTAGAGGTATCGCCGAGCGAGAAGTAGAACAGCGCTTGGATCCATACGACATAGTGGCTGGTAAAACGCCGGGCAACAACGCGATTACCAAACGGCCGTAGACAGACAGTGTGTACTCAAATATGATATACATTCACTTCATTGCTACAGTGTGTAATCTGAACTTGCTCAATGTACTACGGTCACACGCACTACTTGAAAGTTCTACATTCTTGACACTCTCATCTTCTATTATTGATAGGTGCAGTAGGTGTCGTTTTTTCGCTTCTATCTCCGTACGACGGTAATATCAGGGAAGGCGCAATGGAAGCTGCCGTCTTACTGTACTGTGAATGCTGCTGCAGTGCGCCCCTCCCGAATACGATCCTTCAGTCAACGTGTTGTTTACAACTACCAAGCGTCGGCTTACACCGCGGTGCACACGGTTCTGCTCCCTTCACGACATTTGTCGGCCGTCACCTGCGGTAAATAAATGCATGCTTGGGCTTTGGCTGGCCGCAGTGCTCCAGTTTGGCACGATGCCGTACTTTATCCGGGCCGTCCGATTGGTGATCGCGTACAATCGCAAGTATCGGCTGAAGTACGCCAAATTCGTGAAGAGAAAACATGCAACGGGCGTCTTGGTCCTGACCTTCATTGTGCTCACCATCCGAGCCGGCTTGTTCTTCGGGGACGATCCTGCACACTACTCGAGGTGACACCACACAATCACTGCTTGGGCCTATCAGAGCGGACGGCTTCTTTGTACACGGATGAGTGTTTAATGTGAACGATTCTTTCCTATTGCATAGACACGCCAAGCAAGATTGCGTCGCACTCATATCTATATACTGACGGGCTTGAAGGAGGTGCACGGTGAAAAGGTCCCTTCACCGCCTGACGCTTCCCTCTGCCCCGACGAGTAACCACATTTATCTGTGACAGCATGTATGCACGCCGGTGGAGTAGCTACGACTGTCGTACCGAACACGATTAACGTGGGTTAAAGATAGGTGCGTTTCTCCTCCAACCTCGTGAACCCGCCAGCTCAACCGAATAATATGGTATCTCTTCTCTACAGTGACATGCGAGAGTGCTTCTACTTTGATGACGCCATGCTGGGGGGAGCAGTACTCATTGTGGCCGGAGGGCCACTGTCCATTTTGGTCATACGGATATCACGCGTAAATGACGCTTTCAAGCTTCGCGAGGAGTTGTGCTGTTCGATGATCGTTGGCAGCACCATCGCAAGTGAGGAAAATAATTACGCGGAAATGGCCTCATATTTTTTCTCTATGTGGAGGGTTTCCGACGCAAGCATTCGAAGGGCGAACGGACGTCGTGGCCCGGAGTGAAGAGCTCTCTGTCAACCAATAGACCACGATGTCTTCCACATGGTGGTTCTGTGTCTTCGGTTCGTATTGTATATGATGCCATGCATTATCGACCACACTCCATGTAGGGAGGTGGGCTGAGGCCGTGGTGGCTGCGGGTATTTCCGCGCTGTGCAAAAAGGACAGAGAGAGCAAACGCTGGCACATTCTGTTGTAGAGTACCACGTCCCAGCGACGACTGACTGTGTGATGCTGTTTCGATTCATTCATCAATTGCTCACGCTGTTCCTGAATATTCCACCTTCCCGTCTCTCCCTGCGCTCCACTCAGCTACACATTTTGTGCTCCAAGTGCTGTTGGAGTTGGACGTGTTGTCAAACACACCTGCATTTCATGTGGTAGTTGAGGTGCTATCGCTCCTGTTCGGAATCAACGCAGGGGTTTGGGGGTGAGATGAAAAGTAGTGCGAAGTGATTGGTTTTGGAGCAAGACACGTCTGTGCGTTTCCTAGACTGACGTAAGTTTTGGTTTCCTAGCGGAACGTGATACTATGTAGCGCATGCTATGTCATGAGGCCTCCCTCCCTCTTGGCGAGGACGAACGACAGCTTATGGGGCAATTCGATCCTCTCCTGCTGCCGGGGCGTCCATGAAGCCAACGCTCCATTTCTATTTTGGTCGCCTTCGCGATAATAATCTTTACCCAATGCGTTGGCGGTTGCTTCGACGCAGCTTGTTGCTTCCCATGGCGAGAGCTCACCGTGGCGGGGTGCAGGAATGGTTCAGGGCCACCGTGGTTCCCGTTGAAGAAGTATTTACGGTGCAGGCGTCGGATGAATGCGGCGTGTTACGGCTCGCAAGCGGCGGTGGAGAACTGGCTCAGCAGTTTGGAAAATTCTGTCAGGAGAACTTGTGCATGGAGAGCTGGGATTTCCTCGTCGACGTTGTCCGCTACGAACGGATTGCGCCAAGCCTCGTGCGTATTCTATGAAGTGTGCAAGACACAGAATACGAAAGATATGGTGCTACTTTTACCCAGTGACACACACAAGCTAGCTCATTCACTCTCTGCGCTCTGCGGGATGGACTATGTAGACGTTACATATGAACATCGATTCGGCGGCGTGCTTGAGATGTTCGGGGCATTCATTCCTTGTGCAGGATCGAGGATCGAATTCCTCGCGAACAGAGATACCGCCTGCTATCCGACGTCAACTGAAACGGTGTTGGTCGTGTGTGTGTGAAGTCTGTGTGCAGTCGATAATCTTCTCTGCTCCATAGGCTCACCGCATGTATGTGCGCACCATGTTGTGTTACCCACAGGTCGCGAACGACCCCGAGGACGAGCAGTTCAACTCCTTCTTGTTCATCCTGAACCAATACCTGCTTCCCACGTCACCCGACGAGATCAACATATCAAGCTCAATGAGCACACGCATCTTGGCGTTCGGAACAAGGTGATCCCGCTATCTCGGTAGCCCCAAGCCCTTTGGGTCACGCGATTCAAGGATGGGTACCCGCGTCTCAAAACACGCGCACCCAGGCGGTGTGAAGCACATCGCTTCACCTTGAGTTCAGCGTACGCTAGAGTGTCAGAGTGCTGGCATCGTGGGCTCGGGGGTCTCAGTAGATGTCTGCAACGATCGCCGGCCCTTGATACATCCATACTGCAGACTTCATTCGGTCGGTATTTGCGCCGAACCACAGGGACGCCTTCAACGAGCTCAGCCTCGAGGAGCGGATCGGCATACTAGGGGAACCCTTCGACGAGATCGTCCGGATGCTGGAGCAAAATCTGCTAAACAAGTTCCAGAGACGCGTAGCTGTGGACCGGGGTGCGTTTTCCTGTGACTATGTAGGGGGGAATTCTAACGCAGAAACCTCTGGGATGCGCTCCAACAGTTTTCGAGTGCGGTCCTCTTCTTCACCTAGTAAATCCTGCAGGAAAAATGGGTGACTGCGCTGATATCAACCCTAGGCGGCATACCCCGCTCACTTGCCGCGGGGTCAATATCTTTCAGAGAGAATCGGCAGAAGTTCGGTACTCTTAGACGGATGAAATCAGAGTTGTCCCCTCGTATGACTGTGCGTTTTGTCGGGGCTACAAGATCTCTTCACCCACTCAATCAACCGTTTGCGCGTGTCGCGGTTTTCCTAAGCCACACATTGCGCTCACGCTTTCATCTCCTCCCGCGCAATTTGCCTTGTCAGAGGCCCAGCTGCTCGCGGCTGCGGATGGGGATGTGGATCTGGTGACCGTTCTGAAGGCATCGGACCATCGCGTTTGTAGTTCGAAGCCGGAAATATCTGTTTCCGGATACACTTTAGGCTAAGACCCTCTTCGTAGTTTCGAGGCTGCGGTCCGTACAAGTCAATGTTTGTTCCCAGGAATACCGTCGGCTACCAAAGGCGACTGAATAAGTTTTTGCTGACCCGGCTCACAAATGGTGTTCAAGGTCTTAGGTTATGATATCATGTTGAGCATGAAGCACTTAACTACTTAGCAAGCGGGCGCGGTTTCCGATTTTCTTGCTGGGAGTGACCCCCGACGAGAGGGGGAGAAAGAGGAATCATAATTGTTTCGCCATGGTACAGACAGCAGCGCTACCCTCGGCCTTGGGCGTCAATATATAATGTGAGAAGAATGAAGTCAAGGGTATATAGAATTGAAGAATAATTTGGTTGAGTTCGTTTTAGCCCGACAAGATTGATAGTGTATACAGATGCAATAAACTACACGAATACCAACATCAAAGGTTTTCAGCAGGTTTCATCAAGCCATTAGACTAGAGCTCGAAATATTTCGCATCCGTTTTCTCTTCGCGCGGCAGTTGGGCCACCAAGATTGATGCAAGTGACATGCCTACGTGTAGTTTGAGGGCTAGAGGGTCTCATGTGTCCCTGGATAAGGATCGTGTGAATCCTGGCTTCGGGCAGCACGCAGTTTATTGTAGTACCAATAGCCTAAATAAAGCATCACATTGAGTATTGGTCGATGGTTTTCCGTCTTTCCCCGCCGCCTTCTTCTCGACTAAACCGTCGTCGTAAGGATACAACAAGAAACACGCCCACTATTTTGCACACAGGTATGGTTTAATTGTTGTGTGCGAATCTCCATCTCACCTGTGCTCTCTACACCGTCTTCAAAACGATACCGAGGGTTTCTTAGATGAAAGGCACGGTTGCCCGGCGCAAGTTGCCATTTTTTTTTTTGCCGATACCAAAATTAATTGTTGTATGCATAGCATAATCTAACAACGTTGTGCGAGTTGGTGACTCATTCTGGCACCTGGACGCACTGTTTGGCTCGCACCGCGTCCCAACGGAACCCTGCCCAAGATTACGCACTCTACCGCCGATTTTTTACTCAGATCTTGCAAAGCACCCAACCCCATTACATCCGAATGATATGACGGAGAAATTCACTTTCGCTGATTCACAAGATCCGAAGTGGCTTGAGGTATTGAAAATGAAACTGTATCCTCTTCCGTGGCCCTACGTTCTTGCCCTTGGATAGCACGGCGGCGACGGGCTCGTCAGAAAGAAGACCAGGTCGTAATCTTTGTGTTTGCTTTGGCGCGCATTCGTTAACAACTCGACACCCCACGGCATAAATCCTCACATACGGCAGAACGGGGCGTCCCGTTGACTCGGGCGCGCGCGATTCTCGTTTGTCGCGCGCTGCATTGCCAAGAGGGCGCTTCCGTAGCATCGGCTGTTCGCGTACCTCATCACTCTTGTACACAAAGGTAGGCGCCCTCTGGCACACCCGGGGGGGGTTGTAGATTATGCAGACAGCGCTCGAGAGATTCACCAGGGATTTATGAATATTTGTACCTCGCCCGTCCCCACGGACCCAGGGTTTTCAATAACATACTGGAATAGGCCTACGTGTGACGATCTTATATTGCCGGAGTAATTTAGGGGAAGAGGATGCTACGGTTGGAAGATTTGGTGCCTCGACTTTGTGCCCTTCCATTCCGTCGAACTTGGGTTTTGCACCACCCGCGTTCACAGGCATCACCATGAATGAAAGTTTATACCATTGTTGGCGTCATGCCCAGTTCGCCCCGCCCCTTCACTACCCGCTGGCTCTGCTCTACATCTGCGAGAACACGCCCTGTCTCCAACTGCAGCAAAATTCCCACTCAAAGGGTACTGTACATGGGCGGTGGTCGGCGCAGGTATTTCGACGGCAGATACTCCTACAACCGGTTCACCCGTTTCCGCCCCCATTTCCTCGTCGCATCATTCCCACCTTCACCTCAACAAAACGTCCCACCCGAGCAACTCCAACCAAACGTCACCCCGCCCCCTGGCCCTCCCATGAAATCCTCCGTTTTCGCCCTCCAGTTTGCAGAATTTTCACCCCCGGCCCTCCTCGATGCTTGGGTGCCTCGTGTTTCCGTCCCAAACCATCCCCCCGGGCTCTCCCAATGCTCTGCCCTCTTGAGGACGCGTGGTCAAAGGTCTAACCGCTAAGGCATGCAAAACATAAGTACGCAAAATGCTCTCCCTAGGGTCGATGCCGGCCCCCACCCTCGCTTCGACGTCTGCGTCTAGCCTCCGTACCAAGCCAAACCACCTCAGTATGTGTGCCCGCCTTCAAGGCCGCTGCTTTGGTGCCACCGCCGCCCCCGCCGCCCCGGCTGCCGCGATTCATCCTTTCCCTCGTGCCGCCCCTCCCTCTCCTCGCGGTGGTTCTCGGCTGTCTCGAGCTCTTCTTCACCTCCCCGGGGGGGCCAACCCCTCATTCGTTTTTTCGGCCAGACGGACTGGGAAAGGCCTCCTATCCCATCGCCGCCACCGCCGCCGTCGTCGCTGTCTTCCATGGAACTGCTGTGTTGGCTGGGT